CATCCCGTCCGCTAGAGCGATTGTGATGACCGAGCAATCCGGGCAGCGAATATGATGTCATAAAAACGCTTCTTTATGTAATTAAACGATGACGCAGCGAGGACCATAAATGTTTGCTGTTGCAAGCTTGTTATTTAGTGGAGTCTTTTTCACATCAAAGCGTATCAAAAGCCGCGGTTGAGTTCTTCACACGTTACGTGCTGCTTGCCTCAATATTTTCAAATGTAGGCCTGCCCCTTTAAGATAGGTTGTTGCATGTGGAGCATGTGGAACACCATGTGGAGCAAGCTCAGTGATAATGGTTATGCAGGCGGACATCTTGGAAATTTGTCTGTAATGCGTAGCACGATCTTGTCAGCGGTCTCACATTGCGGATGCGCTACACGTAAGTCGTTCACCGGCCCTGTCCACCGGCGCGGACATGGGCCGGACTAGTCGTGTTGGGTTGTATGTCTCCCTCCGGGATGTGCGGGTCATCCATAAGCTACATACGTCACACGCACCCCCAGGCTGTACTTCTGCCAGTTGCTCGTGAGCTGAAAAGGGTCCTACGGCCGTACGTCTGCCCTCGTGTTTCAGGAGGTCGTCATGTCACGTCTGGTGCTGTTTCTGGGATCGACTCGAGAGGGCAGGAACGGTGAACGCGTTGCCACACATCTCATCAAGCTCCTCAAGGAGAAGAACCACAATGTGACCGTTTTCGGTGAGGCTGTGCGGCCAGACGACAACGTGCCGGCTGTGCTTTTCGCTCTGACGTTGATTTATAGACAACGGAGAACATGTTTTCCGTGCACTGTTCAATATGTCTTCTTTGAAAAATTGGGCTGGATTGTTCTGTGGGCGTGTACGTCAGATAGTGTGGCTATGTCTGGAAACGTTGTCTCGTGAATGGGGAATGCGCGTCTGTTGCACCGCGCGACAGATATGCAAGTGAGCTGTGCGCATACCTTCCAGCTTGGGGCTTGGACCACCTGTGCACAGCCTTAAGTGCCACATGACTATCCGCAATCGCATGGACCGTCATGATAAAGCTGTGTGCTCGTGTTCATATCGGCACTTCGATCTGTATTTATAATCCGCTTTGCTATTCATAATCCGCTTTGCACTATGGTAAAAGTCGGGCCGGTAGGTTACTTAGCAAGGCTTCACATAGTGCTGGTCAGGCTGGGTGAGGGCGCATATATCGTTTTCGGTTGCCAATCTGGAATCAACTGTCGCTTTCACTGTGCACCAGTCCCGAATCATTAACGAAAGCCGCTGCGTCGTTCGTTACCAATTGCATTTGTTCAGACACCTAACGACAGTGAAAGTGGCTACCGTCGCTGAGCTGCTGACGAGTTGAGTGTTGTGGTCCAGTAAGGGCACTGTCCGCCGCTCACGTGACTCCATCCGTCACATGCGACGTGGCCACAGCTGGCTTCACCCTGCGGGTCCCGCGCTCCGCAGACCCGCTGAAGATGCCGTTCGAGATGCTGCGCCAGCCGCTGCACTTCATGCCGGATGCTTCGGCGGCTCCCGAGTGGCTGCGGGATGCCAATGAGACACTGAAGGCGGCGGACGGCTTCGTGGTGGTGACGCCCGAGTACAACTGCGCACTGCCGCCGGCGCTGGTCAACATGCTGGACCACTTCCCGCCCGCCTCCTACCGCCACCGGCCCGTCGGCATGGCCTGCTACTCCTTGGGTGCGTCGTATTAGGCGGCTGGTCTGCTGCCGACTTGCGCGGCGTCCTGGCTCGCCTGGTGGGAGTGTCACTTGCTCTTGTGTGATGTGGGATTGGTTTGGTTGTAGAGTACCCAGCCGAAAACCACGTCTGTTGGCAGCCCCAGCGGTGGTCTCTTGTGTGAGAGCTTGGCTGCTGTGTAGCTGTGACCGGCCTGGACATGAGCCCGAGCATGAGCGAGTCGTGCCACATATGGTCATCTTTTTCGTCGGAATAACGACCAGCTTACGGGGTTCGGGTAGTGGCGTTTACAGAGATATAGCTGACTTATGATGCAGTCACGGACCTTAGTTGCACCCTTTTCAGCGGCTTAGCGTGGCTTGTTGGCCTGCGGACGGATACTGCTTGCGTCTTCGCTAATGTTTGTGAAGCGGAATGGCGGGTGAGGTTTCCACGTCGCCCGTGGTGACCTGTTCAATGATGTATCCGAAATCTGCCCGATGCCGTGCCGCGAAGCCGCCGCCCAGTAGCTTCAACTTAGCTCGGCGGCGTGGTTGTGTGGTCACCTGACTGGTGACCGTGACCGCCACTGACTGACCTGACTCTGACCTGTCCAGCAGTGTGTGTGCTGACCTGTGGCTCCCGCTGCAGGCCAGTTCGGCGGGATGCGGGCGGCGGCGGCGTTCGCCCGGGCCCACTTCAGCGAGCTAGGCATGGTGAGCATTCCGTGCCAGTTCACCGTGCCGACGGTGACGCAGAACTTCTCGGCCGACGGGCAGCCGCAGAATGAGCGCATTGAGCGCAACGCCGAGAAGCTGGTGCGCGAGCTCACCTGGTACGTGGACGCGCTCAAGGCTGCACGGAAGGACGGCGTGCCCAACTAGCCCGCAGGCGGGCAGCTCGTGCGGCGCGCGTCAGCTGTCGGTGACGTCACGCCCCGCTTCAGTGCCGCGGGTCACTGCGGCCCGTCAGGTGGTGGTAGCGCTGTGTCGTCTTTGCCGCGCGGTCGACCCTAGTGATAGCGCTAAATGACATAACTGACGTCGGTGCTTCATTTTCATGGTGCCGCTTGTTCTCAACTTTCGCCCTACCTCACCTTTTTAATGTGCTTTGTCCTTTGTGCGTGGTCGTTGTAAGTGCCTGAGCTTGGTCAGCCCTGCACCGAGTAGCGGGTAAAGCGTTGCCGGGCCGTGATTGCGATAGCTGGAATGCAATAACGCACCTTTTTTCGAAAGGGTACGTGCTGGCCCGTCAATGGTATTGAGCCTCGTGCGTACAGGTGTGGTATCGATGTATTGGTCGGCATATCATTAGATGATATTAGTGTTTCTTGTAAATCACGACTGCCATAGTTTTCAAGTGTCCGTAAAAAATGCACCTGGTCCGATGTTGCTATTTCTTGGAATAATGGGATGACATCTGGTCTCTGAAGAACATTAACGACCATGTTGAAAAAGGGAACCGGTTAAAAAAAACGACGCTTCTTAAAGCAAGCACCCTGAAGAACTTCCAATTTGCCTTGGAGATCAACCAAGTAATCATATAACATCGTACTTGATTCTGGGGATGGGAAGGGAAATACGCAAGTCCATGGCCAGGATCGGGGTGCAATCCTACCAGGCGTCACGATGCCGCTGAATTTCAGACCATAGCATTTCACCATCTGATGAAGGATCACTCATGAATCCTGTGTGCCATTTTGGCGTGTCACAGTATATATGAATACATGCTTTAACACGATTCCAGCAAAGGCTTCGTTTAGATCACGAATGCTTTCGATTTAAGCTACGACCCAAGCTCTGTTAGTGCGTTCACAAGTGATCAAAGTTCAGTTTTGTCGGAAGGATGAATAATTATCTTCGCCACATGTTTCTCCTAATTCAATGCGAAGTTTTCAGCCAGAGTAACAGTATGGTGAAGTGATGTAGTGAGAGTGGGACTTATGCAACTGAATGAGTTTGTGACTCGCAAGCGGCGCGTGAAACACTGATAATTTTAGAACCAAGCGTGGTCACTGGCGTAATGTTTTAGAACATCATGGCTACAGGGCCAGGACCCCAGCTCGCTGCTTCTTGTCTACGTCAGCTGTACATTACAGCTTGCCACGGTGGGCCTATTTATGACGGCGATCTCCACACGCTTGCACGTGACCGAAGATTAGGTACACATGCAAAAAGCAATAGGTGAGTGCCTTCTCGCATGGGATGTCCTAAATGCAGGTGATCCTTGATGAAAAAGGAGAACCTTGCCAAAAAAACGTTGGCTTGACGGTGCTGTTGCTGTACTGTCAAAGTGAGTATCCAATGCGTCAGAAATTGCTGACACGCACACAGCAATGTACTGATGTTGAAAGCACACCGACGAAGCCTGCCGGTAGCTTCGGATACAGTCTGAGCCTGCTCTGAAATCAAGCAAATATCCGTTGAGTCATCGAAATTGATTCCTTTGAATTGTTGTGGCGGGTCGGAGTCGGGAGCGGAGTCTGGTGAAGCTTCGGCGGATCTGACTCGAGTCCAGTGAAACATCCGCGGAATCGGAGTTGAGTCCAGTGAGTCATCGGCGCGTCCGCTCAACCAGGTATGCATGTACGAACATATCATTGGTGTTAGCGACCTCGCAGCCTCATCCTAAAAACAAACGTCTTGTGTGGGTTTTTTCGAAGCACAAAAAGCGTGTTATCTCCTCCACAGACTTAGGCCCCACTCAAGTCGGCTCCGACTCTGACTGATACCACACAGAGGTCATTCGGACTCCGACTTCCCTGAGTTGTACAGGCTGGGGTCGACTCCAGATCTGGCTCCTGTTGTCTGAAATAAATGTAGTCGACTCTGACTCTGAGTTGCCTAACTGACCCAGCACAATTTGAATCCTTGCGCAGCAGTGCTACTGTGACTGGTTAAACGCTGGTAGAGGGGTCCCTCGGGTTACCCGTATGGCGTGACACGCATATTTCTGTTCCATTCCAAAACTTGATGAGTGTTATCAACGACGACTCGTGTCCGGTAAGTGCACTAGATGTATTGACTCTCCTTCACTCTGTACATAGCGCAAAGACGTGCGTGCCACAATTACAAAAGCGCCCGGCATCGGCGCGCCACCTTCTGTCTCACAGCGCCACCTTCTGTCGTGATTACTACCGACTGCGCTGGCACCGGGTGTCCGTAGCGCTCACGGTGCTGCCACCTGTGGCACTATTTCAGCAGTTGCTGGTCGAACAGGTGCTCGGCCAGGCTGTGCTCGCCGCTGGTGAACATGGACGCCAGAAGGTTGGCCTTGCTCGCCAGGCCACTGACCCTCTCCACCTCGGACTCGAGGGCGTCCTGAGCCTGGTGAGCCAGCTGCAATGGTTGGCTGGTGTCAGAGCGGCGCCGTGATGAATCCATCGGCTCAAACGAGGCACCATCAACTCATCATTTATCGTACGAGGAATGAAGGCGTGGGACGAATAAAGCTTACCTGTCATCCCAAAGTTATGAACTTGAGTAAGTCCTAACCTCGCATTAGTGAACCCGTAGGGAAATTAAGTACCTCCCCGTCATTAGCAGCCCAAGGTAGATACTCATAGCTGCAACTGGGACTAAAGCGAAACAGTCGGCTAGAGCAAATTGGAGCCCGTTATGCATTGCTAGAGCTGATCGTCCTGCAGTCAAACACATGCGTGTTAATCAAGTGTCAAGTCAGATCATGCAATCGCTCAGCTCTCAATATGACCTTCAGTCTGATGCGGTCACGATCACGGTGCTTGCAACGTTCACCGCGTCCTCGGGACAGCGAAAATCGGAGGACCAGTCACCCGACCACAGCAGTAGCTATGTTGCGTTAACCCTCGCGAGACGGGAGCCATTTTCACTCATGTCGGATCGACCTTCTCTCACCGCTGGGTCCCAAATAGAGCTAGAACCAAGACAAAAACAACAGCGGGATCCAGTGATGTGTGAGTGACCCATTCAGGTCAGATCAGTCAGTGACCTTCAGGTCAGGTCTTCTCTAATGCCTGGGAAGGCAAAGGCGGGAAATGACCACCTGCATTTACTTAGAATGGCGTTTTTTAAGTAAAATGATAGCAATGTCGTGTTCTGAATCAGGTCCAGCGCAGTCATCGAGGATCAATGTAAAGTCGAACAGGACCCCATGTGTCATTGACCTCGTTTGAACTTGAAAACTACGTTTGAACTTGAAAGTTACGCCTGTACGTATTTAAAAATTACGTCGTCCTTCCAAGCAAGTTCCGAAATTGCGTTCTGTCATTCTGCACAGATTCGTTGCGCGAACTCACCACAGATTGCCAATCAAAAGAGAAAGACGGAGGCTTTCCGTGAAAACAAGTGCCTTGAAAGATAGCGTCACAGTGGTCTCGGATATACCACGTGGTGATGGCGCGTATCCCTCTCGTCTTGACCATGGTAAATCCACCTTACATATACTGCCCGTAGTTTGCGTACAGCGCCGTGACATGTGTTCCCGTGACGCACTGGTGTGCTCCGTGTCCGACTGCGAACTCACATCGGCGTCGAGCGCGCAGCCGGCTTCAGCGATGCCGCCGGCGGTGGCCGTCAGGCAGAGGGCGCCGCGGTGCAGGCGCGCCTGCTCCTCGTACATGTCCTTGGCGTCGGTCAGGGCCAGGCCGAGGGAGGGCAGCGGCAGCGGGTTGTACAGGCCAGTCGTCGGCAGCTGCGGGGCGGGGCGGACATGGCAGCCGACGCCTCGTCGCCCCACGCCAGACAGATGAACGGGAACATCACACGACGCAGGCCGTAGAACGGTCACGCAGGCGGCACGCGGACTTGTAAAGGCGCGTCTTTTAAATAATGCGTGATTGGCTTTACTGTTCTGGGCAAATATGATTTTTAAGTGTTTTCCAGAAATGAATACACCCAGGAGCGAGAACGATGCCGTTGGCAACTGTGTTGTCTGATTGGCGTGCTGAGCTACAATCCCGGCACCAAATGAGCACGAGGTTCAAAAACTGATGTAATACCGGTCTCGATTGGTACCCTTACCTTAACATTGAGGGCTTGGTGCATGGTGCCTCCGCGCTTGACCACGTACTTGATCATCGACACGGCCTGTTCGAAGCGCTCGTCCGAGGCACTCTTGAAGAGCTTTTGGAAGCCCAGTCGGTGGTTGGTGTGTCCCGGCCGAAGTGGCTGGACTGGAAACGGTGATGCGGACGCTCGTCACACACAGGTGCAGCCGGCCGGAGGCGGTCAGACGCTAACTCAGCATTGCTGTCTGACGTGCTATTCTTTGCGATTCTCTGCGTCATTTTTCGAACACTCGGATGTTCAAACACGGGCCACACGTGCCCCCTCACCTCTTCTGCAGGGGTGGTTCACTTACGATCGACATGTACTGCAGAGCCAGTTTCAGAGCCTTGTTGATCACTTTCTTGTACTGGGGCGCATGCACGGAGTTGAACGTGCCCACCCGCGCGTTGCACTCGTCTCGTACGTCGGTAGACAGATCTGCCACAGTGGGACGGTTGTGTTTGCCCGAAGCGCGCGCTTTGCTGACACCCTCCATGGATAGCGAGAAGAGACACTGCTGTGGTGGGTAGCATATGGAGCTGGATCGAGTTAATCAGAGGGAATAACTAAATTTACACAGGAGTCTGGGGGGGGGGCAAGGGTGTTATGGTCTTCCCACTTTGTGAAATGTCATCGTTAACCATTTCGTGCAGCGTGCATTAACCATTTGAGAAAGATTCCAGGTCCATTCACTTTTAGCGACGCTCATAGCCCACTAGAAGGACAACCGCTTTTCTCTTGACTTGGCCTGATACAGGAGATACACGCAGTACGCAGAAAAGTCAGCATAAACTGCTATTCACGAGGAACGGTCCGACCCGTTGCGCAGAGGGCCAGTAGCAAACGCTATCTGCACGTACCAGTGCTCCACCGCTGGCCTCTTGAACTAGGGTCTCCAAGCGGTTCTGGCAGGCCAGTGAACCTCCGATCAGCACGGCGAACAGGAGAAACGCGCGCATCTTTGGATCTGGAGGTACAAAACAGAGATGTTTAAACACGTCAATCTGAAAAAATCACTAATGCTGGTCTGGTAAGTTAGAAGAGGAATCTCGCTGGTCAACAGCAAGCCCGCGACCCTTCTAACTAAGATGACCGCGGTGCGGCCAGTGCTTCACGCATACGCTGGTCTGGACGAGATGGCGCAATACCCGGTCTGCGGGCAGGGCAGGCTTCGCACTGCGTGCAGCTGGCAGATAACCGGCGAAACGGCTTTCATGGCGCGGGACGAAAAAAGAATATCAGACGTGATTGTTACCACCATGGAGCTGTTACCTAAATATAAGCGGATGGAGTCCGTTGCCACTACATTGTTTGTTTACGGTTACAAGTTTAACCAATGCATTGGAATGGCCTCCTCCCATTACTTTACCAGGCGTGAGTGCACTTCCTGCAGTGACCTGTCAAGGCGTGGTAATATTAATCGTCGAGATGAGCTGATCTGGCTTTGTGTATGCTCTTGGTGACTCAGGCAAAAAACAGTGGAAAATCCATAATACTTTGTTGTGTATAAGTCACTATAATCTGGTATGATAGTCTTTGTAGTTATCATAGCTCGATCTGTCTCGCTTATGCCGTAGCGTGATTTGCTTTATTTGAGGCCAGATTTGGAGGCTTTGAGGATAAGTGCCGAGAGGTCGCTTTCTGGTTCGATAACGGTCCGTTCGCCTGCATTGCGCAGCTGGTCTCACGTCTCTGCCGCTGGTCTGTCTGGTCCGCTCTAGTGGCCGAAATCTGGCACGCATCCTTAACAACATCTGGGCAACGGCGCTTCATGGTTCACGCACAATCGTGCGCGAGAATATGCACACATTTGGCCTACACACCGTTGTCAGCCACAACTGTCCGCTTTCTTCTCCGTTACTGTTAGCCAATCAACTAATACCATGGTCGCCGGAGCTGGCTTTGATTCGAACGCGTTGTTTCAACGGAATGGAGAAGCGGAATACTAGTATTGCAATGTTGCAAGAGTACGCTGCTCGACGGAACAGTGCAAATTCAGTACCCAGGGAGACATGGCAGCACAATTTATAAAAATGTTTGCTGTTTCTATCCGAAAATTGCGAGGTTGGCGCGATCCGTAAATGCAAAGAATACAGAACTTGTGAAAAGACATAGACTTATCAAAAGATACAGGCCTGTCAAAAGATATAGGCCTATAAAAGCGCGACTGGATGTGTTTGGGCTGCTGAAGCTACCACATTTGATAAGTTGAGATTAAGGTCCTCTTCGGTCTGCGGTTTGGCCCGTCATCCCGCACATCAATCATCACCGAGATGACAGTGAAATGAACGACTCCTTGACCTTGAAACAGAAAGTTCGGCAAGTACTGTGGGTAACATAGTTTATCAGCTTTATGACAGCATAGTGTTCCTATTCAGTTGATGACCTTTAGCCGCGCTCCCCCCCCCCCCCCCCTCAATCCAACCACGCAACTCTCAGGCGGAAGTTGGTCAATTTGGGCAAAAAAAAGTTTTCATCGTATTTGAGGGTAGGTTTGTGCGTGCTACTTGCTCAGCGACGTAGCTTAGTTTGCGGAACCGCGCCCCTGGTCACGTGTCAGGTGGCGTATCACCAGTGCGGTCATGTTCGGTCCTATACTTGGCGTATCACCAGTGCGGTCATGTTCGGTCATATACTTGGCATATCACCAGTGCGGTCATGCACACTTCTGTAACGTTGCGTCCACTACCATCCGTTGAGTGTGGTTGCTAAATGGAACTGGAACGGTGGAAATTGCGCAGGCCCTTTGGAAAACACGGTGTTCGGTTTAGTAAACGTCACGAAGCGCAAGCACCGTTACGTCAACACTGGAACTGCTGACCAACTCTGTAAACAGTTTATCGTGAAGGCCACGTTGACATCACGTTTACACGGCATGTACGCTATGTTTGAGATATATGGGTGTTGTTGAATTCAGGCGCGTGGAAACGTACCTAGTCAGGGAGTTCCAACTCTCCAGCTCTTTCAACTCACATGTGAATCCCCAAATCGTCGCTGAGCCCCTGTCCAAGTTCAACTTACAGCTGAGTATTCCCAGACAGCGGGCCCTCTGACCCTGAGACATCATGTCCGCTCCTTCTCCACAAAATACAAGCAGCAGTGAAAGCAGTATAAAAAACATGTGTGACGAATTTTCACCAATAACTGCCTCTTTGCCCCGCATGACCCTCACCTGGAGCCGCAAAATAAAACAAGGCATGCAGATCAAATCGTACATATTCGGCAAATGATGAAATATCGTGACCCACATCCGAAAGCAGATGGCTATTTCTGACTCACAAGCCAAACCGACGCGGGCGCGAGCGGCCAACTGTGCTTTGAGGAAGGGATTCCTTTGATGGTCAGCTGTTATCCAGGCGCGAGCCAAACGCTGAATGAGGGCTGGTCGCTTCAACCGCTTGAAATATCCACAGCATAGCAGACTAAACCCCCTCCCAAAGGCACAACAAACCAAGGAATAAATACGTGTTTTGCGTCACATGCGGCGTGCAAGGCCTGCTTCGAGGGCACTGTGTGGGTGAATAAGACGTGCGTATTTTACAGGGAGTCAGATTCCAAGATAAAACGTAACACCACCCTGTGGCCTGAATTTATTATTTAGCTGTACAACAACCTAGTCGTGCCACCGTACCGTATGGGATCACAGACACTACTGCTCACCCCCATGCAAGCAGTCACATAACAGTAAAATTATCACACATCTAAGCAAGTACCTTACCTACCTGTTTCCTCCAGGGACGAAAGCCGACGGAGAGATAGGACTCCGGTCGAAAGCTGACCAATGCAAGGTACCACACTCGATATGCTCGCCCCCGGTCACTAATCTAGGGTGACTCGCCCGTATCTGTCGGGGTGGTAAACACTGCGCCATTGGCTGATCTCTGGCCGTTCTTTGTTTGCGTGCATCTTCTGGGTGCGACACGTCAGGGGCCTGATCAAAAACGGCTTTCAAATAGCGTGTCAGCACGGCTAAACAGTAACGTGCATTTGCAGACAGGCAAAACAACTGGCCATCGCACAGCATCCCGCGCCGCGGTGTTTAGTTGTGGAGCGTCCATGCGCGGTTCTCAGTCGTTATTGCAAAATTAGGTCCTCGCCTGGCCTGATTGGACTTTGATGCGAGGGTGCTGCTCTGCGCGGATGTGGTTTGATTGGCTGCTGCCCGGCGGCGGCGGTGGCGTCAGTGGACGGGCCGGGACTGATAACAGAGATCCGAGAGTGTCCAGTGTGGCGACTCGGACGGCCAGTCTGTCCTGCCGCAGGCCCCAGGCGATTGACACCCAGTGGCCTGAACATGAAGACGCTGCTGCTGCTGCTCTCTCTGGTGGCCTCGGCCATGGCCGGGCTCTCGCTCAACGCCAATGACCCGGAAGACAAATGTGAGTATACGAATAACGTGAGATTTCGCCCCAGAAATGCGTCATCGCATAGCCATGCTCGTTTCATTCTTTCAAGCCATTTTAGTTTCTGAGCTACACGCCCGCGAAAATGGGGAAAGTTACATCGGGGAGAGTACTCCAAAGTCACCTTGGCATTCATGACGTCATAATAACGTCATTCAAATCCTGTCATTTCATAAGTCATAGCGGCAAACAAGGCCAATAAAGGTAAAATGGTCGAGACGTTTCATTGATGGCGTTCGTGAGCTCGACTTCCAGATATAACGGCCGTCAATCGGCTCCCAATCAATGTTGTACAAGTTATGATGACGTAATGAAGCCGTGACGCATTGAGGGGCATGTTTACTAAAAAGAGAATTGTACTGTCTACAGCAGTTTTTCCACTTAATAATATGCCAGTAGCTATAAATGAGCGTGTTTCATCACAGCTTGATGCTTGCTTCAATATCTACAAATGTGAAACGTTCTCTTTAATGATGAACAAACAACTCCGGCCGCAGGCGCGGTCTTCCCTGCGCCAAGAACTACCGCTACATCGAGGATTGCGCCACGGCCATCCGTGACCAGATCACCCGGGAATTGGACGCCTCCATCACCTACCTGGCTGCGGTAAGTCCTGCCGACACCTCCTGATTTCACGGCGCAGATGACAGCCTGGCGGAAGACATGGTACACAGGGTTTCTCAAGCTTTCGGTGAGACTAGCATAATTCTGACGCTTTTCCATTTAAACACATTTGATTCCGGTGCATCGCCACTCTAAATCTTGCCAGTGTTTGTCATATGAAGCCACCACTAATTGGGTTGAATGGCGCTGCTGTGAGTTTTCTCTTTAGTTTTGGACCATTGCCCTGGTCCCGAATGTTTGAACTCAGACTAGAGCGTTCCCAACGGCGTTTGCTGCGCAAACATGTGGCATGCGACGTGTGACGTGTGACATGCCATACAACACGCGTGGAGGCTTATGCACCCGTTCATCCACCCGGTGGCTAGCGTGTTGAGGGCGGCGCCGCTTCTTCGGGCAGGGGGCGCACTTCGCCCAGGACAACGTCAAACCGTCCGGGCAATTTCGGACATGTTCTTCGACCACGCCGCGAGGAGCGGGGACACGCCTTCAAGCTGGCCGACTACCTGCTCATGCGTGGAGACCACAACACCAACTACCTGCCGGCTCGATACGTACGTCCACTGCGCCGGGAGCATGCAATGTTGTACACACACTCGCGGGAGGTTAAGAGCGAGAGGCGTACAACATGACTTCTCCTGGCTGGTGTCGGATGGTGGTCCACTGTATCAGACTTCTTCAGCTGTCGGGTTACAAGAGACTCCCCACAAAGAGTCTTGCGTTGCAAGACATACGCAAAACACAATACTGAACGCTCACCACCATGTAGTGTTAGCTTAAGGAAGTCCACACGCAAAAACGCAAGGGTGGGTGTAGGAGTAGCATAGCAACGGAATTGCCGCTCCCTCTACTTCCCTTTCGAGTCTGGTGAGCCTAGCACTTCCCCTCTTAATCAGCAAGAGTTTTATTATTAACCGTCTGGCGTTGTTTAAAAACAAGTAATGGCTTAACAACAGCCTAGCCTCATCAGACTTGCCCTAAGTTTTTTTCGGCCCTAACTTCACGACACGCATCTACATAGCGTCTCAGTGACCACCGTGTAATTGCTTTTGCATGCTCCTGTCAACAGTCGCACCGGTCACTGAGTGCACAAGGCGTCCGGGTCCTAGAATCGCGATAGATTTAGCCATCTGTGCTAGCCGACGACTCTCAGATGTAGGCAGCAATAAAAATAATGCTTTAACATAAATATACCATGTTGACTGAACTTATAATACTATATAGTCAGTCAACAACAAGATTAAACAGAAAACAATCGCAGCTCAAATGAGCTCGCAGCGCAAAAATTATCGGGCGGTTCATGCACGGCATTCCTGAGCACGATTACCAGGTATAACGGCAGTCAAGCGTCTCTCAGTCAATGCTGCGCAAGCGAGTACCCTCGTCATCAAACAACGACGTATTGAAGAGCATATTTACTAAACGGAGAAAATTGTGTTGTCTAGAGCAGTGTTTTGCACTAAGAAGTGTGTCAATATTTATAAATTAGTTAATCATTATATCGGATCCTCTGTCAATATCCTCAAACGCAGAACGTCTCCCTTTGAGAATAACGCCGAAAACAAGGATGCAAATTAGGCTTAAAAAATATAAAATCATAGCCAAATGCAAGAGAACGTCGCCCGAAAGGGCATTGCGCACACGCACTTACACGCACACACACGCAACACACACAAACACACACACACACACACACACACACACACACACACACAACACACACACACACACACACACACAGCCACACACACACACACACACACACACACACACACACACACGCACGCACGCACGCACGCGCGCATGGACGCGCGCACGCACGCACGCACATACACGTACACGTACACGCACGCACACACGCACACACATACACAGCGCATGCACACGACATTTCGTTCTCTACACGTGCACCCAGTTAAAGGGAGTGCTCCACATTTGTATGGGATTTTGAACTGAAGTGACTGTTTTGAAGACCATTCGGTGCAGTTTACAGCCCTGCTCTTTTAAGACCTAAAACCCTTTAGTTTCCGAGCTACACGTCCGCAGAGATGTGAAGACTATATAGTGCAGGATTTTTCAAAGATCATCCGGCCATGCATGACGCAACGTCATTCAAAAACCTGCTACCACCTTATCATGCGTTACATGGTCATGCGTCATGGTCATAACCATGGTCACGATCATGCATTACTCGGTCATGCGCCGTGTAAGGCCAGGAGGAAGATTATCGTCGAGTCGTTCAGATCTGGCGTCAGTGAGCACCATTGCCAAATAAACTGGAAGTCAATTGGCTCTCAATCAACGTTGAGCAAGCTATGAAAGCTTCAATCATGAGCCACGTTTTTTGAGTTTTTTGTGTTTTTTTTTTTTTTGCTACGTAATATAAAAAGTTGGATGTGGTAGGCTCACTGGCTAGTTGCGGAAATGAGACTTGTAATAGAATAACTTAAGAATAGCGCCTAACCGAGTTGCGCAAGTTAACATCTTAAACTCACGAATAAGTATGCAAGAATATCACCAAATAAGGAAGTCACCAGAGATGTCATGACATAACAAGTAAAAAAAGATCAGTGAAGATGGTACGAAAATGGAAACATTTCAGATGAATGGCAGCAAATATGATTAAAGCAAACGGTAAAATGTGAGTTCTACAAAAGTATGCGGCGTTTGTCTGAAACTGTGCGCTAAACCACGGGCCTTATGTTGCAAAAGTTCATGGATGAATTCACCAAAAAAGTATGATGTGCGCCTGACCGGGCAACAGACTGAGAGCCGCATTTTTTGTTGACAAGAGCAGCAGCCGCTGAAGGATACCTGGAAGACTGGCATCGAGGCGCTCACCGACGCGCTGAACATCGAGAAGGCCGTGACCAGACACTTCACCAATATGATAAAAGTCTGCGAACTTGACTGGCATGTAAGTCCTTGCCTTTGTGCGCCGCTTGTTCACGTGACTGGCAACCACTTCAGTTTCTTATTGGCGTGATGACCGAGATATCGGCCGTGTGAAGGGTCCAATATTCACGTTACAGTTTATGTCCATTCACCTTGAGTTTTTTTCGATGGATGCATAAGATGTTTCACAGGTACTAAGAGCAATCTTAATTTACAATCCTTGGTTTTCGAAGCAAACAATATCATTGCTACTCAAATTTATCTTAAGTCAGGAATGGTCTGTGTCTGTGGATGTTTCTGTGCGTGGGTGTGTGGGGGTGTACGTGTGAGTGTGTGTGTTGGTGCGCAGGTATGTGTTTTACTGTGCTGCGTGTTGTGTGATTTCTAACGATCTAATGGCCCGTAGGCTGCAACACGGCAAACAGTAGATGCCTTCACGGATAAGATCTTCTTTACTGAATTCTTCTGCCAACCATAGGGTCATATCCATATTCACCCGCTGCCTGTTTTTAATTCCCCGCACCCACACGTTACCCGCACCTTGCATTTTCCTGCATTCTACCATCCTAAGTGTGCAAGTGTTTGCATTCAAGCTGAATTTCGCTTGCTTTGTAAGTTCAGTATGGTGTGCACTCAACTTTTTATTTTGCTTTCACAATCGCAAATGAGGCGTAAATGAAACTAAATATGACCCAAAAAACGTAACCAGTAGCAATACGTGTTGTTTCTTGAAATAACTACCAACATCTCGCAAACGCGTACCATTCCCTTACCTATGCCCGTAATTTTCCACAAATCTGTTCCCAGCCCAACCTGTTATCCGTCCGACATCAGTACCTATGGGCTTACCCAACCCGTGGAGTCCTTTAGCAGACGACAACCAGACGTCAATGCGTTTGGATCAGTTCGTTTTCGTTGCTGACATCTCTTAACGCTCACGCTGCAAAACAGGTTCTTGAATCAGTGTCATTTAGTGCATGTCAACCCATGGAAACAGCCCATCCGGTTTTGGTTCGAATAAAATCATAACCCTCCTACGACAAAACTCAACGCCTGAACGTGAACAACGCCTCTTGTGCTCGCTGCCATGTGATTGCCACCATTCCGTGAGGCGGCCATGTAACCGACGCCCCTCGCTACAGGCGGCCGACTGGCTGACGGCTGAGATGCTGGACGAGCAGCACAAGGGGGTGCGCGAGTTCACAGGCCACATCACCACCCTGCGCAAGATGCAGCTGCTGCAGCCCAACCTGGCCGAGTACATGTTCGACCAGGAGCTTCAGAGTGACCACTGAGCGCCGAGCGGGCGCGAGCTGGAGTCAGGATAAGATCGAGATCGAGATCAGGACGAGACCGAGATCGAGATCGAGGCGAGGGATCGGGTCGTGATGGTCGGTCCAGAGAAGATGAAAGCGGTCTGTGTGAGGATTCCACGCTGATGGAAGGGTGTTGCAGACGATAGATATAGCAGCGGTGTCATTGCCACGTCATAATACACGGTGTGACTTTAGTTGTGGCTGCTGTCGCTGGTTGGAAGGACAAGAACCGATGTCGAGGAAGATGTTGGTTACGTTTGGCCGACCCTTCACTGTGAAGGGGATCAGTGGCAGTGCCGAGCAGTACCACATTCAAAAAGTGGCCAGCAACTGTACCGTACCGTGAAAGGCTTCGTCCCTATGAACATGTTTCTACGATTCTAGCCGAGTTCAAATGAGAAAAATTTGACGAGCTTTTTACGAGCTCCCTCCTTTTTACGAGCCACGAGCTACGAGCTAGGCTTTTACCTGGGCGTAATGCATAGAACCTACACACGTCTCGCCCACCGCATCTCTGAAAGCGCGTGCACTGTATCACCATGCACTGTCAACCCGTGACACGCGTGGAACCGCCAATAGCCTTCTAAAGATGCAGAGAGCGCACACTCGTGCTGCCACCTTTGAGCCCGCAGGCTCGCAAGGCGCGGGCTTAAAGGGCCCGCAGAGCTTTTGGGGATATTGCTAACTGCATTGCGGGTATTGGTGATTAGTCTACACCTAACCTTTTCCAACATGTGTTTTCTTATCCACAAATTCATATGTAATTAACTTGCAGTTGTTGGTATTAAATGTCACTGGAAGAGGTCAATTCTTTGTGTAGAAATTATAAAACAGGGGAGCTACATTTTATCATAAGCTCCTCCAGACATACCATGCATGTCATTGGCCTAGCATATAGTGCATATTTTATAGCTTCAAGGCGATGCTACCATGGCTTAATACTCGTCAAACTTACAGTTAGGCGCAATTGTTTAACTAAACATTCTGAGAGGGTGAAATATCGACACAACACCAAGAGCCATGCTGAAATAATCGCACACTAGTGGCATATTCTGTCATGACTTAAGCATCCTATTCAGTTAGTGAACTCCAGATCCACGCCCAGCAACTTAATACGTTTACCCATTTATCACCGCCCAGCCCACTCCAAGCATAAATGTATTTTGCAAAACTACCATCTTGGCTTTCGCACATCATTTGTAAAATGAATCACACGCT